TGAATATAAGCATAAAAGTCCGAGGAGCTAAAATATTTTGTCACCTGAAATAGCTAAAAATGTACTGAAGTAGGATTTGAATTGGGCAAAATTTTCAGAATAAAGCTTAATGTTTTAAAGTGTGAAGTTTAGAAAAATTCTGATCTTATTTTGTAATCAGGGGCTTTTACTTCGAAAATCTGGTACATTTTGGGGCCTTCATGTGAGTTTCCTTTGTAATTAAGGGCTTTTATTTTGAAAGTCAGGCACATTTGGGGGCCTTCATGTGAGTTTCCTTTGTAATTAAGGGCTTTTATTTTGAAAATCCAGCACATTTTGGGGCCTTCGTGTGAGCTTAATCTGTAATCTGGCTTTTATTTTGAAAATCTGGTACATTTTGGGGCCTTCATGTGAGAATAATTTTTAATCAGGGGCTTTTACTTCGAAAATCTGGTACATTTTTGGGCCTTGGTGTGAGCTTAATTTGTAATTAGGGGCTTTTATTTTGAAAGTCAGGCACATTTGGGGGCCTTCATGTAAGCTTACTTTGTATTCAGGGCCTTTTATTTTGAAAGTTTGGCACATTTTAGGTCCATGTGTGCTTAATTTGTAACCAGGGGCTTTTATTGTGAAAATCTGGCATATGTGGCCTTCATGTGAGCTTAATTTGTAATTAGGGGCTTTTATTTTGAAAGTCAGGCACATTTGGGGGCCTTCATGTAAGCTTACTTTGTATTCAGGGCCTTTTATTTTGAAAGTTTGGCACATTTTAGGTCCATGTGTGCTTAATTTGTAACCAGGGGCTTTTATTGTGAAAATCCAGCACATTTTGAAGTTAACTCTTGTGTTGTGTCCAGTTCAAATTTACCCATTTTTAGATTTTTACTAAAAGAAAACTGACAAAAGAAAAAAAGCTGTTGACCTGAAACTATATGAACTATGCATTATGTTTACATATAAATAGCTCTTGATTGCAGTGTCATCTCATCCTCAATCGTCCAGCACCATAAGCAAAAGGTACACTGCTCAGAAGGCCTTAGAGCTATTTTTAGCAGAGTGTGAGACAGATAGTGGAGGGGAAGAAGAGGATGTCTCAGAATATGAGGACAATACTGAAGAAACACCTGAATATGAGTGAGTTTGAGGATGATGAGGATGATGAGGACTCAGAGCACGCAGCAGAAGAGACTACAGATCCCACTGCTGGAGGAGCCCCACAGCCAACTACATCCAAGAATGGCCAGACTGAATGGTTTTCATCTCCCCTGGTTCAGCTGCTAACAAAATAATGATGGTACCAGGACCCACATGAATGGCTGTGACACATGTTCATGATATAGTGTCATCATTTGAACTGCTGATTCCTCACTCAATCCAGAAAATCATTCTGGACATGACCAACCCTGAGGGAAGACGTGTTTTTGGGGAGCAGTGGAAAGAGATGGACCACATACATTTGTGTGCCTACTTTGGGATCCTCATTCCTGCAGGTGTCTACAGATCCAAAGGGGAGTCAACTGAAAGTCTGTGGCATGCAAAGAGAGTGATTTTTGGAGCCACAATGTCGCTGGAGAGCTTCTGCATATTCTCCAGGGTTATCAGGTTTGATGATCAAGAATCAAGACCTGCTAGGCAGAGGAAGGACAAGTTGGCAGCCCTCCGTACTGTGTGGGACAAGTGGGTGGAATGGCTTACACTTCTCTATAACCCTGGGCCCAATGTGACTGTAGATGAATGGCTTGTGGGGTTTAGAGGCCATTGCCCCTTCAGGCAGTATATGCCCTTCAAACCGGCAAGGTATGGGATACAAATACGGACTGCCTGTGATGCAACATCATATTATGGGTGGAACATGCAAATTTATACAGGGAAGCCAGAGGGAGGAGCCCCTGAGAAAAACCAGGGGACATGGGTTGTGTAAAAAGGCAGGCCCATCTACATACAGTCCAGTGTCAGAATTATTTGAGAGATGCATTTTTCAGAGGTACTGCTTCTCAGTGAGTGTGAATAAAATGTTTTATATTTTTGGCACTGTTCACCAATTGTTGTAAATATTTGCATTTGTTCTAAGATACATTGTTGAGGGCTGTTTAGTCAATGACTGCAATGTTCCATTTCAATTTTTATCTGAATTTGTGCTGCCAAAGTGCATCCTATGCTTCTCATCCCACAAATACTGCTCCAAACTGGGCATTCTGCACTGGACATCATCCCTGAAGAACCACAGACCTCCAGGGACCCTACGCTTCACTCTCAGCCACCCCAGGAAAATAGTGCTCCATAGACCGACAAAATGCGCTGGCTAGTACCCCACAAGTACTGCCCCAAAATCAGCCACAAGGTGCTGCATAGCTCCCCTGCAGAACCACAGACCTCCAGGGACCCTGCATTTTGCTCTCACCCACCCCAGAAATAGTGCTCCATAGATGGACAAAATGCACTGGCCGTTGGCTATCTGGGGCCAACCGAAGATCCGCGACACTACGGTATTGTTATGTCTAGGCGGGATTCTGACTTAGAGACGTTCAGTAATAAACCCACAGACGGTAGCTTCGCACCACTGGCTCCTCAGCCAAGCACATACACCAAATGTCTGAACCTGTGGTTCCTCTCGTACTGAGCAGGAATACAGGTATGTGCCAAAAAATTAGAATATCGAGGGAAAGTCCATTTATTTCAATAATTTGTTTCAAAAAGTGAAACTTGTATGTTATATTAGTTCACTGCACACAAAGTGAAATATTTCAAGCCTTTATTTGTTTCAATTTTGATGATTATGGATTAAAGACAAAAAAAAACCC